TCAAGTCCCAGGGGGCTGTCGGCAGCAGGGTGAGGTGGGAGGCTCCAATTTCGCAACAGGAGGGAGGTGCCTGGAGGACCAGCCAGCCCCTGACCACTCTAGGCTGGCCCCTCCTGCCCAGGCCCCCTCAGCCCTCCTGCAGTCTGTCCTCTCGGACCTGAGTGGCCACTTCTTCAGGGTACCTGCCTTCCCAGCTTTGCCCATCCCTGGGGCCTCTCCTTCCAGGGTAGCCTTGGCCTCTTCTGGTCACAGCCTCTGGGGGCTGCCTAGCCTTTATGGGCACATGCCTTTGGCCTAGGGCCCCCTGCTCAGTCTCAGGCCCGACTCAGGTGCCAGACCCTCACAGCTCCCGTCGCCCTGCCTGCACACATGCACGTGAACACGTGGCTCTGGGGTTCTCTGGGCACCTACCTGCTCCCCTTGGTCACTGAAGTCCCGAGGCCTGTGCCCCGGACCCCTGGAGCATTCAGTCTCCACAGTGGGCACCCACCCCTCACTCCCCCCACTGGCTGGGCTTCCCAACCAGAGGCTAGTGTCCCCCATAAACCACGGAGCTGTGCACCTGTCACTGGGCGCCTGCCCATACAGATGTGCTACTTGAGTTACAAGGTTTCTGGTGCCCTGGACAGAGTGGCCGGGAAACACCTCGGCCAGGTGCTGGACACCCTCTCACGTCCTTGGGACTTGAAGGACGAGTAAAATGACTCTTTAAAAAGGAGTCACCGTCTGCCTCTTCTCAATGGGGAAGGTCACACCTAACCAGGTCCATCTTTAATGGCCTGTGTCCTACCAGCTGGCCTTCCTAGATGTGAGGAACCTCTGAGTCCTCCGTCTTCTCCCAGCAGCTCAGCCTCCCTCCAGGGGCCTTTCTCCTCAGAACCTTGTGCTGGCCCTGCCCCACTGAGATCCTGCCACCTGGCGGGACGCAGAGACACCAAGGCTTCTCCTGAGTGTACCAGCAGCTTCCCGAGAGGCCGGGTCCCTGCTGCTCCCCTGAAGACAGAGGGACAGTGAGCTGCACTTGCTCACCTTCATCACCTCCTGGGGCTCCTCCAGGGAGCTGGGCCCCCATGCTGACCCCAAAGGAAATTTCCATGAAAACCCTAACAAACATGCACACCCCATGACAGCTATTCCAGTCCTAGGTGCGTATCCAAGGGAAAGGGCCACGTGGCCACTGAGAGGTGCACCGGGGTGACCAGAGAAGCGGTACTTGTCAGCGCCCAGAGGGTGGAGCCACTGAAAGGGACCAATATACATGGGGCCTGTTTCCACTACAGAAGGTGACAGCCGCGAGCACGAGCCACAGCAACAGTGGGCAAATCATACCACTGATGTTAAAGACAGAAGCCTGGGGACACACAGCTGCTCCAGCAGAGAGGGCCGAGCCACAAAGGCATGGGGGAGGGAGAACAAGGTCAGGGAAGAGATGACCAAAGGGGCAGCTGGACTCAAGGCTAAGACCTGGACGAAGAGGTGACCGCTGGACCAGCATGACAAAATCTCCATCGACCTAGCACAAAGGGTCTCAGTGGAGCGAGGGGAGGAAGTGGGACCATCAGCCACGACTGCCTGTCCCTGGCTGCGAAGCGAGGTGCGAGGCCTGGGCTGACAGTGGCGTGTGGGGTGAAGTGGAGGGAAACCTGAGCACGTTTACTGCCCAGGGAAAGTGCTGAGCAGGGCCACTACAGAGGCCGGTGTGGAGGGGCCAGGTGAATGGCATGCCTGGAAAAGTGCCAGGGACACGTAAAAAGGCCCAGCAGGTCACAAGAGTCCCACTGAGGTTGGAGCCTCAAGTCCATCTGGTCAGCAGGGAGGGAGCATCCACTTCCGCAAACATCTCCCTCCCTTTGTTTTCTTTCCGACTTTTGCTCACAGTGATTATCAGGCACAATTATTTCCTCAAGACTGGAGCTCAAAACCTTATCACATTTCCTATATCCCATCAACTCTGAGAAACTTTTTTCCTATTTTAATAGCGTTGAAATTGGGCTGCATCTGGCATTCGCCAGCACAAAGGTTAGCAGCATTTTTCCATTCTCAGCGGACCACGGAGACCCAGCTCACACCACTGAGGTCTTAGATCTGATTATGCAACAAGTCTCCCCTCGGCCCACAGATCTCAAGCCTCCACGCATGTGCTCTTCAGTTACTTCTTCCCATTCCCACCCACCCCTGGTCCAACATCCACTGCTCACCCTCCAACCCCTGTGTCGGGACAGTATCTTGCACTATTCTTCTCCATCCCCGGTACACGTCACGCCAGCATGATCTTCCCAAGACCCACCCTGCCAAGTCACTCCCCACCCGGACACTACCAGGGTCTTCTACTGCCATCAAGCCCTCAGTCTGGCCACAATCTATCTCATCAGGTGTCACCAGCTACTGGGCCCACCCCTCAAACACAGTCTGTGCCTCAGAGCCACCTCTGCTGCTGCCAGCGCCACGGAGAACCATACACTGCCCCCGAGTGTGCTCTGCAGGCCTTGACTGTTGTCCACGGCTGACCAGCCCATAGCAGCCAGCGGGCTGCATGCTCGGCACCTGGCAGGGTCCAGAGCCACTCTGTGAGTGGCGGTCGTCCATCCCTGCTCTGTTGCCCCTGGGCAAGTCTCTTCCCTCTATGGGCCTCAGAATCCCCATCTGAGCCAAAACATTCCCCAAGAATGTTCACCAGGCCTTCCTGCTCAACAGGGACCCAAGTATAGCCACATGAAGCCACCATCTCAAACAAGGTCTCCGTGGCTGCTTATCCAATATGATGGTGGACAGGGCAATCACAGAAGGAATGTATTGTCCAGCTGGGCACTCCTGAGAGTAAAAGGGCTGCTGTTGATTACGAACCGTGAGCCAGGATAGCCCTGGGCAAACTGAATGCAGAGACAGCCCACTCAGGCGTGGTGGAGACCCACAAACGCAGAGTACACTGTGAAGGGGCAGCAGCGCTGCCGGCCACGGTAAACATTTGCCAAGGGCCGATTGTAGGGTGGCCACTGCACTGAGCCAGGTAGGACCCCGATAACCCCCATTTTGGAGGCCTGACAGGTGAAGCAACCTTCCACCCAGCAGAATGGGGTCTGGACCACAAGGGCCTCCCAACCTCTGGGCCTCCAGGGCCACAGCAGTCAGGGCTAGGTCAAGATGGCTCAGCTGGCTTGAGCACCCGAGAGCCTGCCCCCACCCCTGCCTGTACTCCTGGCAGGTTCCTGACCCCTGGCACTGATGTGGTTCTGCTCAGAGACAGGGAGGGAGTCCTCCTGGATGGATCTATGTAGCACCTTGCTCTTCCATGGGAACAAAGGGCTTCAGAGACCTCCTGGGAGGCGCCAAAGCCCAGTCTCCAGGCCCCCAGCCTTGAACTCTTTCCCCACACACAGCCATCTGCCTAAGGACTGGGCGAGATGACACTCTGTGGTCTGGGAAAGTGACAGTGGATATTCTGGAGTTAGAATCAATGACGCAATTGCAGCCACTCTGTGTTCCTTTAGAATTTTTGATAGGTACTCAAATTTTCTTAGACTCCACTTCTCCTTCAATATTCAGTGTTTTGGGGGCTCTCAACAGCCCAGTTTCTACCAATGAGACTTCTAGAAAACGATCTATCACCCAAGCAAGTGCCAGCAGGACACTGTCGTATTAGATGCCAGATGGGCCTGGCAGCCTCTTGAAGTCCCCCAGGCAAAGCCTCTAAGCACTGCACCACCCCTCCCCCACTTTCCTGGATGTCAACAGCAGCTCCCCTCCCGAGCAACAAACCCCAGTGTGTGCACCCCCTCCCTCCTCACGTGGAAATCTCGCTAGCCCTTCCACTCACCCCAAATCAAGCCTCCTCCTTCAGGACTCAGCTCCTGCCCCCTTCCCTCCCCACCTGCACTCCTCTCTAAAAGCTCTGGACACTCCCCACTGACATCTCAGGGCCTTTGCTCAAAATGTCCTGTCTACCCAAAACTATCGCGCTGGTCCCTGGGGGCCCGGCTAACGACCACCTTCTCTGGGAACTCTCCCTGGGACAGGTCGGGGACATGACTTGTGCGCCTCCACGTTACCTGAAGTTTCTCACAACCTGGGCTGCTTCTGTAATTGGAAATCTGATGTCTGCGGCCTCCCCGCTGCGGCTCCCGCCCACCCCGGCAGCCCCCGGGGCCCGGTGAGCTCCCCGACGGCGGGCAGCCTCTTACCCGCTTCCCACCCCGCACCCGGCACCGCCCCGCCTGGCTCAGAGGCCAGGAGCTTGGGACAGGCTGGACGGCGGCGGAAGGCGAACCGCGGGAACCCGGCCGGCCGCGCTCAAGGGTCAGGAAGCATCATCAGGGCTGCTCCCCGGACGACTGGGCGGCTGCAACTTCAGGGGCGGAAAAGGGCGGCCCGCTGCGCCCTCTGAGCCCCGTGCCCAGCGGGCCCTCCCCGCCCCGCCGCGCCCCTCCCTATCCTCCGCCACAGCGGGCCGGGCGCCCCACGACCCCGCCCGGGGCCCTCCCCTCGCGGCCGCCGCGCCAGGGCGGGTCCCGGCCGCGCCCGCCCCGCCCCCGCCCCCGCCGCCACCGCCTCACCTCGCCCTCTCGGCCGCCGCTACAGCTGCCAGGGGCCCGGCCGGAAGTGACGCGCACCGACGCGCACGCGCACGCGCGAGGGCGCCGGCCACGTGACCGCCGGCGTGCAGGGTAGGGGCGGAGACTGAGGCTGGGGCTGAGGGTCTGGTGGCCGTGGGGTTTGTGGAGTTGGCGGCCGTGGGGGACGGGGGATGGCGCGGACGGGCTCTCGAGGCAGCGGGGTTCTGGGGGGTCCGGGCCGGCGGGGTCGGGGTCCTGGGACAGGGCCGGGGGGCAGCGGGGTCGACGAACTGCAGGAACTGGCAGTCGGGAGCCGCGGGGCTCTGGCTCCTTGCTCCGGCGCTGCCGGACCCCTAGACCAGAGTGGAGGGCGGGGTCCGCTGACCACAGGAGCAGCCGGAGCCGAAGGACTGGGACGGGCCGGTCCCCAGTAATCAGGCCATCACCACGGGCTTGGGAATCAGGTTTATTGAAAAAGTAGAAAGTGTCGCAATAAAAAATTCACCTGGAGGAAAAGCCAGGCCGGGGTCGGGGGGCGAGGGTTGTGCCCAAGTATGGGGTCCTGGCCAGCCTGGGCGGCCCCCAGCCCGCCTGGTGGGGCACTCCTGGCACTTGGGGCAGGTGGGCACCTGACGTCTCCAGGGAAGGCTAGAGCCCTAGGAGGGCGGGGCTGGGCTCAGTCCATCTTAGTCCCTTTGAATAACTCCACCAAGTCCTTGAAGTCAGGGTCAATGAGGTCCGAGGGCAGATCACCATCGTCGTTGGCTGCTTCTCTGTCTGCCCCCAGGGAAATGAGGTACCTGGGTGCAAAGGGCATCCCTGGTTGAGGAAGGGAGGTGGCCTGCAGGATGCTCACCCCTGCCCCAGGGTAGCAGGCTGGGGTTCTGAGGTCCACCTGTTCTTTATTTTTCCAGGTGAGGTGAGGAGGAAGAAACCAGACCCTTTGGAAACTACGGCTGACTTTTGCAGTTTTCTCTTGGGAGGGCAACAGGGCAGAAATGAGATTCCAGAAGCCCTTAGGGTTCTTAGCTACACCAGCAGGGCCACCTTTTGGGGGACCACATCCTGGAAGCCACCCTCTCACCTGGCTATGTCAGGGTACCCATCGCTGCAAGCGATGTGCAGGGGTGTCCAGCCTGTCTCATCTCGCTGATGAATGTCCGCCCCGTATTTGACTAGCAGCTTCACGCACTCCAGGTTTCCAGAAAGCACTGCTTCGTGAAGGGCAGCCAGACCTGAACAGGACAGGAGGGGTCAAGGCTCAGGCCTTCCCCTGCCACCCCACAGACCCTCACTGGCCCCACAGGCACTCACCTGAGGGGTGGATGGTGTCCAGGGAGACTTTCCGAGCCCGGATGAAGCGCCCCACCTGCTCCAGGTCGCCCTGGCGGATGTGGTCCAAGAACAGGACATCGTTAGGGAAGCGCACACTGCGATCAGCCAGTAGCCTCCGGCGCCGCTGCCTCGGGCTGTAGCGGGCATAGCGGACTGTTCTGCTGGGCATCCTGGCAGCTATGGTGTGGGCCACCCCTGTGGGGACCCTACTGCTTGGGGGAGGAAGGTGCCCAGACCAGAGTGGCGTGCAGGCTCTTCCGGCTGATGATGATCTCCAGCACAGCCACCTCAGTGCTCTCCGTGCTCCTGCTGGCCAGGGCACCTCCTGCTTATATAGGGCCCGCAGAGCTATATAAAGCTGCGCAGTCATGCTTACACCCGAGGGGCTGAAACTGAGCCGCTCCAGCCGTGCCCTCAGGATCATGTTTAGTGGTTCATCTTTCAACCCACCTGTCACTGTTCCTGGCCAAAGGGGTCAGATCCTTCCTGGCCACGCTCCCTGCCCCTCAGCTGGACCTCGAAGGTGCCTGACAGAGGGCAGGAGAGGCGCTAGAAGGGCAGGGCCCATAAGGAAGGCAAACAGGTACCAAGGTCAGGGTCTCCTACAGTCCCGGGAACTTGGGGAGAAGGGCATGATGTGTGGTGAGCACAGCTGCCTCTGCCTCCTGGGAAGGCAAGGGGGCCACCCACACCTGAGGAAGCACAGGACAGGGTCCTGCTGTGGAGAAGGCGGCCCATCCCTACTCATCTCCCTGTCACTTATCACCTTCCATCATGGCTCGTATCACTCTCAGGGCAGTTTTCCCAAAACGTGGGCTTCAGTGGCACTGCCCTGCTTGGAAATCTCCCAGATTAGAATCTAAATGCCTCAGCTCCCACTCAACCCATCCGACCTTACTTTGGGACCCCCCCCCCCACAGCCGCCTCCACCCCCAGGTCCTCATTCCCCTCCTTCCCATTCCCCTATATTCCTCCTGGTTCCAGGCTCCTGCTACTTCCTGCCAAGAACACAGGTGCTCACACTCAACATGGTATCTAGTCTGCTACCCAAGGACCATGATGCCATAGCTGTCACGTCCTGGGCTGTGTGTGCCCTCTGCACCTGACCTAGAGCATACTTACCTGTAGGAGCACAACCAGCGGAATTGTGAGATATCCCAGCAGGCTGAGCCAGCACTGGCTGCCTTCAGTGCGGCGGCCAAGGTCCGAGGTGGGGCTCAGGCTTCAGTGCGAGACAAGAGCCAATGGATGGACGCGCACAGGAGACACGCCCTGGGAGCAGAGCTGGGCCTGTGGGGTCCACACAGTCCCCGCAGCATCTGAAGCTGGCCATATTGCTCTTCCAGGGCTGCTGTAATGAAGTGCCAGACTGGGGGTCTCAAACAATAGTTCTGGAGATCAAGATCAAGCTGCCGGCAGGGCTGTTTCCTTCCCAGGGAGAATCTGCTCCAGGCCCATCTCCTGGCTTCTGGTGGCAAGTCGTTGACGTTCACTGGCCTGTAGATGTATCACCCATCTCCACCTTCGTGTTCACATGGTGCTGTCCCGGAGTAGGTGTCTGTGTCCAAATTTCCCCTTTTAATAAGGAGATCAGCCATTGGATTAGGGCCCACACTACTCTAGTATGACCTCATCTTAAGCAATCATATCTGCAACAACTCCACTTCCAAATAAGGTCACACGCTGGGGTATTGGGGGTTAACACTTCAAAACATGAATATTGGGGTGGGGTCCGGTTCAGCCCCTAACGTTGGCAAGATCCTCCGGGCAGTCACTGAAGGCCTGGATGCTGACAGAACCACGGATAGTCAGCACTCTGTATGGGGGGGGCAGGGACTTGGGCACCGGAAGTCCTTGCATCACCAGGCTGATCTTGATCCAACAAAATCAAATCAACAAATGCATCAGCACCCTAGGTGCAAAGCCTTGGGCCAAATGCTGCTGAGGATAGGCCACTGCCCGCGGTGGGCTCCCTGCCCTGACAGGGTTTCTCTGCCTGCCTTGTTGCCACTAATGTTACATGGGAAACTCCACCTGACTCAGACCCTGCAGGGGCCCGGAGGGAGGGGTGGTTCCCAGTGTTCCTGCATTTCAGGCTCAGAGTATGATGCTGGGTGGCCCTAACTCTTGGTCACTTGGGAGGAACTGGGTACAGTTTCTTCCGGCTTGTTTACACGAAGCCCAGAGACAAAGTCCTATGCTGTACACAGAGACAGAACTTTCCTTTGATGTGAAGATTGCCTTTTCTGATGTTGTGGAAAGTTCTGTCTGCCTGCCCTGCTCAGAGGATCAAATGAAAGAACTCCGATGAAGCTGCCACCAACAGCATGGTTTTTCCCACCAGTGACAGGCCTTAGGCCAGGCAGGGCAAACCATCAGGTGGGTCTCTTGGCGACCCCAAGAGCGACCCTCCCGCTCTATCCTGCTAGAGGCAAGCTGAGAGAGCTCAGGATCTCGGCTTTGGGGTTTCTGTTTGGATGTCTGGATCCAAGAAGGGACAGATGCCTGAAAGTCATTCTGTTCAGGACATGGGCAGCACGTCCTCAAAGCCATGGACACGGCCTACAGCAACTCACTCAGAAGCCTTTCGGCAGAAGCCAGCCATGAGCAGTCTAACCTGCTCTTCACACAACCACACCAGCACCAAACCTGTATTCACACAGCTTTGCCCCTGAGCCTCTGCCCGTGTGAACTTCTCAAGTGACCTGGTTTGCACAACTTTCAGGTTCTGCCTTCTGGAGAACTAAAGCAAGTGAAACACTCAGGGCAAAACTCTTACTTTGAAAAGTCCAAGGAAACTCAACTAGCAAAGCTTTGCATCTAGCAGAAAACAAGCCAGGGGCCTGGAGGGGAGTCTGTGCAGGGCCCACTCAGCTGCCTCCTGGCAGGTGCAGAAGCCAGACCTCGAGGGTCCGGTACACAGGCCCAGCAGTTGCTTTTTAGTTCCAGGCCAATAGCTTCCTACCAGCTGGACAGAGGAAGAGAGAGATTGGGACACCCCAGGCTGTTAAGCCTTGACTGCCTACCCCATAGCCTGCAAAGTTACTTCGCTAATCCACCAGCGTTGCCGGGTTTGGGACTCCAACCACCATGTCCCAGCAAACCCAGACCCAGGAATGTGCTAATCAGCTGCCTGGGCAAAAGGGGAAAGGTATCGGTGACTCACTCCCCCTCCCAGGAGCACATGACGGCCCTGTTCCGGGCAGCGACACCTGGTCCCAAGCTTTCTATGCGGAGGGCCAGGCTCCACACAGCTGGTCTGCAGGGGCACCCACGCCTGTCACGGGGCATAGCCCACCCCTTGCAGCTGTGACTCCTGACAGCCCTGCTCTCAGCCCACCCTGGGTTCCCTCCTCTGGAAACCACACGCATAACCCTGGGGAACCCGCTCACGTTTAGGAGGGCAGAGCTAACATCTCCCCAGCGATCTCCCACAGAAGCTCCAAGTGCCCGAGCTCACTCTTTCACGGATACACATCTCATTGTGTCAGCACAGCCGAGGCACAACACACACATACCCTGGAGCAGCCCTGGCACAGACCACCTGAGAACCAGGGAAGGGAGTCCGGCCATGGGCTGAGCTGGGGAGCGGTACCTGGATGCCAGAGCGTGTGGACAAGCCGGGGCTTGGTTGGTACTGCCAAGGGTGCTAACACCAGGTTCTCCCTGGACACCAGCTGTGTACCACACGCCCAGGTGAGAGGCAGGAGCAGTCCTGGGGTTTGTGAGGGCAAGAGCAGACACCTGGGCGTCTGGCTGGAGCGTAGCTGCGGTCATGGGGGAAATGACACACCCACCTCCCCATGGGCCGAGACCACAAAGGGAACCACATTCACAGCAAGTCTCATGGTCACGTCTGCTGGAACTGCCTCTGCCACCTCCAAGGTCCCAGCAGCATCAGAACTGGGGGCTGGGAATCAGGAAATGCATGCACACTTCCTATGCCAGGCAGCAAGTTGGAGGGACCGCTGGAGTACGTGGAGCGACAGGCCGGGCTCCTCGGAGACCTAGCCACATTTAGTCTGTCCTTGACCTCCCTAAGTGGACTGGATCTCCACCTGTTCCCTCCAATAACCTCATCAACAGCCCTGCTGTCCTACCTGTGGCTACAGATGTGTGCACAGAGCAACAGACGGGAAGCCCCGGGCTGGGCAGGGCTGTTCTGGCCGGGGGACAGACACCCATCTGAGCCCGGCTGGCCCCCTGTGGGTCTCCCACTCAGAGCTCTCCCCAAGGCCCAAGAGGTGTCACCAATCCACGCTCAGGTGCCATCAGCCCAACACTGCAGCCAGGCTGGCAGCTTTTGAGTTTGTGGGGGAAAAAAATCCATCGAGATGCTCTTCCCCATGTAACTACGAGTGAGCGGAGGTTCTAGAAGTCAAATTACATCTTAAAAATAGAGATTTGCAACCGTAACTCCAGATTCTTTTCTACATGAAGCTTTGGTGATGAGCACAGCATTCTTGAAGTCTGAATGCCCCTGATTTCTCATCAGAAGCTGCAGTGGTTCCAGACAGCGGTGGGGAGGGGCCGCTCCCCACCTGAGGGTTAAGGTTAGAGCCACGCGTCCCTGACCATCACGTCCTGACATGGCACATGGGGAGAATCCATGTTGTGACCACTGGATGCCCACGGCGGGTAAAGCTGCCGAACTGCGTCACGGGTAAGCCAGCCTGACGGCACAGGAACAGGGCCAAGAGGCAGCCCTCACCCCGTCATGATGGTGACAGCTCCGCACACTGTGCCCACAGGATTTGTGCACGCTTCTGCGTCTCTGCTGCGTTCCAAGAAAGAGATGTCTCGACAAGAGCGGCCCCCACCAAGCCCACCTCCTCTCCCGAGAAACCTGGAATTCCAGCCCCACTCCCCGTGCCTGGAGGTTGGAAGGCAGAGGCAACAACAGGCAGAAAATTTCAACTTTATTTGGCCAATGTGTCCAATTCCAATATTGTGGTAGAAATGCCTGAAGAACTGTCAACATGTGATTCGGCTCAAGCAAGCATCCTTGGCCGCCTCCCAGCCTGGAAACGGAGGGTCCTGGTTCTGCCTGGTGCGGGCCTCAGGCCACCCTGGATGTCACAGAGCAACAAGGACCCTGGCTTGGGGAAGGAGGGGGCTGCAGCTGCACCCTCCAGTCATGGGGGGGGCCCCTGTGACAGAAACCTGAAGTCACCATTTAACCAAACGATGCAGGAGCCACGCTCCACCATGGCAACACCGCATGAGGTGAGGGACCTGTCCAGACCGGCCTGGTCCTGCCCCACACAGGGGACAGGAGTCCCAGGGAGGCCTGGCCAAGGTGGAACAGACGCCCTGACTTCCAAAAACATCTAAAAATCCCACAGATGGAATTTTTTTTTAAAGTGATAGTATAAACCTAACAGGAATGAGACGTTGCCAGCATGAGATTCCAAAACATTTTAGCGGGCACTCTGGACAGAACCATGTACAAAAAAGTACACCACAATTTAAAAAAAAGGCCCACCAAGATGGGCTGGGCTGGCCTGGAAATAAACCCCTTTCCAAAAGTTGCAAAGCAAAGGAAGACGGGTTTAGATTTACACGTGTGTTAGAGTGAAGTGTGGCTTCAAAAAAGTTCCCTGCATTTCCGATCGACGCTCCCTCTCCGGGAGGGTCTGTGGGCGTCCGGAGGCTGTGCTGCTGGGTGTGCAGCCCACTGGGAGGTGCCGGGTTTGGGTGCCCAGGTCTGGTTTTCTGTGTTACAGTTCATCTTTCACAGCTTTTTGATCATCGTCTTCCTCCAGATCAGGCTCTTCTGCTTCTTCGAGGTCTTCTAGATCCTGGGACGGAGGATGAAAAGGAAGGGAAATGAGAGGTCCAGGCCAAGCTGGCATGCTGAGGCCCCCACACCCATGCCAAGTACGCCAGGGACCAGCTGGCCACTCAGGCACAAGCAGCCAACTTTGGTCTCTGTGAGCAGATGTGCGTATATGTGGGGTGCGCTTCCCGAGGAGAGCGAGGCACGGGGACTTCTGCCCACAAGACAGGGGGGAAGCAGAGCTGGTGCTGTGGCAGCCCAGCCCACGCCATCCAGCAGGTGAGCGCAGGGGCTGCCCCAGCGTGAAGACCAAGCAGGGAACTGCTGGTGTGTAACATCCACCCCTGTAGCCCTGGAGTCTGAGAGGCCAGTGGCAGCCCATGAACCACAGCGGCACAAACAGCCCTGGCGCTCCTCACCTGCCCCCGCCCCCCAGCAGGTCTGCCCCCTGGTCCCACATCCCCGCACTTCCGTTTCCGGGCGGGCCCTGCGGCCTCAGCTGACCATTCCCTTCACCACGCCCACCCTGCCACACCCTCCTGGCCTGGCACTTCTGATGTCCCCTCCACTACCCCCAGGTGACCCTCGCTGATGTGGACAGGCCTGAGCTCACACCCAGCAGAGCACCTCAGCTCGACAGGGAACGTACCAGACGAGCCTGAGAAGATTCCTGAGCAAACACTGGCACCTAAAAACCCTCGCAACACCCCTGTATAGTGCTACCCGGCAGCACTGAGAAAGCATGTCCCATGGGCGGCAGGGTCCGGTGACCACCTACATCATCATCCCCGGCTCCGTCCTGGCCGCCGCTCTCCAGGAACTTCTTAAAACCGTCCAGTGTCCGCTCCCCATTGTAGTCGATGACCTGTGGGGAGGGGAATGAGATGCGGGAAGCGGTCCTACCTGACAGCCCCCCACTGCCCCTGCACACCCTTCCCACCCAGGCCTCGATGGCGGGCGCACCATCCTGTCGGCGCTGGCGGGGAAGAACTTGAGCGTGGGGAAGCTGTGCACTTTCACCGCCTCCACCTCATTGGCTGTGGAGTCCATCTTGGCAATGATGACGTTCTCGTGGTCCTTATACGTCTCTCCCAGCTTATCCCAGATGGGGGCCAGCTGCTTGCAGTGACCGCACCACGGGGCGTCTGAAAGAGAGCCGTTCTGAGTCTTGCTCGGCCGGAAAGTACCCTGCCCCACCGAGCCCTGAGGAGCTGGAGGGCCTCACTTACAGAACTCCACAAAGACGTTCTTTTTCTCATCAAAAGCGACCTCTTCGAAGTTCTTCCCGACGAGCACTTTGACAGGCTGCTTGTCCCAGTCATCAGGCAGCTCCTGGCTCATCAGGTGGGGCTAGAGGGCAGGTAGAGCAGGGTCAGGCATGCGCGGTCACCCAGGGACCCCTCCGCTGCCTAGCTGCTTCCAGAGCCTCAGGAGGAGGTGCGCCCCCAGGATCCTCAGAAGTACCCCCAGCCCACCCCCAGACACGGCCTATACCTTGATCTTGCCCTCCAAGAAGCGGTGGCAGAACTCGGTGATCTTCTCTGCCGTCAGCTCGTCCGACTCTGGTTTGTACTTGGTCATCTCCTCCTCCAGCGTGATGAGGCGCACGGCCGGGCACTCCTCCTTCTTCAGGCCGAAGAACTCCAGGATGCGCTGGTTGTCAGCATGGTCGCTGTCGATGAAGATAAACAGGATCTTGGGGGAGAAAAGGCACGTTGACGGCACTGTAGGACAAGGGCTCCCTCTGCCTCCCTGCTGCCCACTCCCAACAGCTGGGACCCCGAGACTAAACAGGCTGTCCTGAGGCAGGAAGAACACTCTGGACCAGCCTTCAACCTGGGGCCGAGCCGCCCGCAGGCCACCGGGAGTGCTCACCTTGCCCTTGAAGCTCTCGGCAGCTTTTTTGAAGTTGCTCAGCTTTCCCTCGTAGTCGGACACGCTCTTCGGCAGGAACAGCAGGATGTGTGTCTTAATTTCCCCTCCGAAGATCTTCGGGGCTGTCTGTGTTAGAAACGCAAGTTACTTGGTCTGAGTCACAAACCAAACTGTTGACACAGGCTATTCTCTCAATGGCCCCAATGCCACCACAAGCCTGGACAACAGCAGGGGCTCTGCAAGTGGGGGTCCCCACGACCGAACATCATGACCCCCCGAAACCTCCCCCCACCAGGGGCAGGACCAGCAGCACAGAGCCACACCTGCTCAGTGAACTCGATGACCAGGGGTAACTGGTTGTGCTTGATGAAGTCCAGAAGTTTCTCCTTGGTGACCTCCCCCTCAAAGTTGTTCCGGCCTTCATCAAACTGTGGAGAGAGAAAGGTGTGGATGCCGAGGCTCTCCACAAAGCCCCCTATTGCCCCGGCTGGCCCGACTTGGCCAGGAACGCAGTCTGCAGCATTTTCCTGTCTGGGTTTTGAGCACAGTTGGGGGCAGGACCCACGTGCCTCCATCCAAACCAGGTGACGGCTGCAGGGACATAACCTCTGGGCAACCAGGCAACAGTGAGGTCACTAGGAGCGCACGCAGGCTCCCCACGAACACTGGCAGGCAGCCTCCCACGTGCCAGGATGGCAGCAGCTGACCCAGACCCTGCCCCGACATGTTCCTGACAAGCCACGAGAACCCCACGTCCTGGGTGCCAGAGGACTGCCTCATTGCCAAGTCCCTAAAACTGCAGCTCTCCCAGTGCGGGCCTCACCCCTGTGGGTCCAAGGCCCTCCCAGGGTGGATGCAAGGTCAGAGTGATTTTCACAATCATGCTCAGACGGCAGGTGCCTTGTCACCCTTTCCCCCCGGAGTGTGCAGTACGGTGTGACATTACGTCAGACTAAAGGTAAACAGGAGAACCCAGCTGTCTTCTGTTTGGGCAGACATTAGAGACCAGCAGAAATCTAAAATACCACTCTTACCCCTAAGATGTTGTCGTTGGGGAAAAATTAATTTTCACAAAAATATCTTTTTTTTGGCTGCACCATCTAGCTTGTGGGATCTTAGTTCCCCAACCAGAGATTGAACCCAGGCCCTCTGCAGTGAAAGTGCGGATTCCTAACCACTAGACCGCCAGGGAATTCCCCCAAAATGTCATTTTTTTTTTTTTTCAAAATGTCATTTTTGATAACATGTTAACATTTATTACTGTTACTTCAGAATGAACAAGTTATTTGTTTTTTTTTTCAATTTCTCAGTTCTAACTTCTAACACTTCTAACACAATAAAAATGGATAGGTGTAATACACACACACAAAAGCTCTGGGAACTCCAGTAACCTGTTAAGAGTTTCAAAGTCCTGAGGCCACGAAGGGCGAGGGCTGCCACTGCAGAGCCGCGAGATGTGGCCCTGCTCTGGATGGGGATGGCAGACACAGCTCCTCGTGAGGAAGGCTGAGCTGTGCCTTGGCCTGTCCAGCAGGTCAGTGAGCCTCCCATCACCCCTGTGAACTCAAATGGGACTTGGAGAGAAAAACCACTCACCTTCCTTTCCGGGTCATTCCCCTCTGTGTTTTCCTAAAGTAACTTCCAGAAAAGCAGGTGGCCACTTCCCACTCCCACTGCACTTATGTAGGGCCTGACACATGGCTTGATCACAACACGTGCTGCTAAGTAGGACCACACGGAGGGCCAGGAGCAGGGAGCTGAAGCCTGCTCTGCCTTCTCCACACCCGCAAAGGGAAGGTGCAGAGAAATAGGAAGGAAATGGAGGCGAGAGGCTGGCCTGGCCATGGCTGGGCACCATCAGGCATAAAATGGAGCCCCCAATAGAGGCAAATAGGCCGCCATCTCCACTCCTCCAAAACTGCCGTGCCTCTCTTGGGACGCAGTCTTCGAGGTAATACTGCCATGTCACACTATGTTCGGTGTCTGCTTTGGTAAAAACCAAACAGCCAGCTGCAGGAGGCCTGGGGTCCTGGGCAAAGGCCACCCCTCCAGACCACAATGCGAATGTCACGAACAGGCCCCACAGCCACGCTTAAGCCCCCAGCTTCAAAGATGAAAAAGAAAAACAAAGTAAACACCAAACAAAGACACAGGATGGTCAGCTCTCAAACCAGTGGTCCAAGTTCCAAAGACCTGGAACCCAGCTGACCTGGGACCCAAGTTGGGAATCTCGGGCTCAAGTTCTGCTGGAGCCCCACCCTCGCCATCCTCTCTCTCAAGTGGCAGCTGGACGTTCCTGGGAGCCCCATCCCGCTCTCGAAGCTGCCCACTGGAAGACCCAGCTAACTCTGAGGAACTAGGCGAACAGCCTGAAGGAAGGGGAACAAGTAACGGCAGAGAATGGGGACCACAGGCCGGGCAGGAATCTGCATCTTCTTCCTCTCATCTGTGGAGCTGTCTGACCCCCCAACACAAAGCCTGTGGGCTCTGCCAGGCTCTTCCTCACAGCTGCCCAAGGAAGCCATGCCGTTCCAGCACAGTCACCGGAAGCAAACGAGTGCAAGAGGGGATGCCCGCCCACTGGCACCAGACCTGAGGGGGTCGGCTGTGCCCAGCCTGCGTGAACACCAAAGACTTGAGGCCAAGAACAGATGAGCTACCGTGACTACAGTCTTTGCCGAACAAGAAACAATCGTGCTAACCTTCAAGGACATATGATCACCAAAACCATCGATCCAGTGTGACAAATGCCACTCCAGATCTCAAGGATAATGGAAAAGAACTGTGTGGACCAAAAAAAAAAAAAGAAAAAAAAAAAAGAACTGTGTGGACCAAGCTGATGAAAGGGGATCTGCAAGCTCTACAGGCCTGAGTCTCCCAGTCCCTCACCCAGAACTGCAGGGTGAGCCCAGGACCTTCGTTCCACTCAATTCCATCCAACTCGGCAGGGTTTTTTCCTAATCAGCTGTTAATTACAGTTTCCTGGGCACTTTTGGGAAGACAATCGACTAATTTAGCAATTCTATTCCCTTTAGGGGACATCATGAGGATGTCTACTAAGAAAAGAGAGCATATATAATGCCTTGAGTTCTTTCGAAAAAAGGGCTTCAGACAGAGCTGAAAGCAAGCTGCCCCAGAACCCTGTGCAGCTGGGAGGCCCCGCCCCATGCTCCCCACCCCCAGGCGCTGGAGGCTCAGCGGTGCCCCACCGGGAGTGCACACACAGTGGGGGGTCAGCCCCCCAAACACTGCGTCCTTTCTGACCACTCGATTTACAACTTTGCTGTAACACTAATTCTAACTACCTTCTAACCCTGGGGACAAAACAGGACAGGAGTCAAAGGCCCAGCCCCACCCCCACAGCCTTCCCTCCTCCACTCAGCACCCAGTCCAAGGACAGCTGTGTCCCAAGAGCATGGGTGCTCAGCCACTGTCTGCTGGCTAAGATAAAAGAGAGACCCCCATCGCCCACTCGGGTAATGCCTGCACACACCCATCTCAGCTGTGTCCTAGCAAGAGCGCAGAGCGGTTAAAAGACACACGGAAGGAATAACAGACATGGGGCTGGGGGAGCCTGGAGGAGCCCGAGGGAGCCCTGGGGCCAGGCTCTACCAACAGGGTGGGAACACATGCCACTAATACTCCAGAGTGGAAACAAACAGGAGTGACAGCTGCACAACATCGCAAATGTAATTAATGCCGCTGAATCCTATACTTAAAAGTGGTTAAAATGCCAAACTTTGGTACAGGTATCACCACAGCTTTCCTTTAACAAGCTAACACTCCGAAGCCGCCTGGCTTCCATAGAACACTGCACCGGGGCCACCACAGAAGCTGGAACAAAGGGCCCACAGCTGAAGGGCTGAAGGCCACTGTTTAAGAGGCTCCTACAACCTGACGTTGCAAAATGGGCCCTGATAACAGGTGGGCCTCAGTCCAGCAGCCAGCGCCGCCCGGGCAAGGTCCTCGAAGGCAACACCAGCCCTGCAGCACAGCACCGCAACTACCCACGGGGGGGGCAGGAGAGGGATGCTGCCCGAGGGCCACTCACCTTCTTAAAGAGGACAACGCCGTCCTTGTCCAGCTGGTATTTGGAGAACATGTCACTGTTGGATGTGATCCCGAAGGGGATGTCATCGGTGGCCTCTGCTGCCAGTAAGAACTGCTTGGCAGACTCCGACTCCACGTCCTGGAGAGGAGAAACAGAGGTGGCTGCCACCACAACACTGAGAACCCCTGCCCTGGTCAGCAACAGGGCAGACTGTGGTGCCCAGGCCACAGCAGGAGGAAGGAAGACCCAGGATGAAGTTCCAAAGCCTCTACCTTAAAGAAGCCGATGACTGCCACCTCGCTGGACTCCACCAAGGCCTCCGCGGCAGCCGCGTCAGACAGCGTGCTGGCAGCAGGACCTGTGCGCTTCTTCAGCCAGTTCACGATATCGTCGGCTTCTCTGCCAGCTGCACCCAAACACATGCAGGGTCCACTTGAAACCAGGGGTGCGCCCACCCTCCCCGCCCATCCTTATCCGACCTCTCTGCCAAAACCAGAGCAAAACATCCTCTTGCCACAGAAAAGGCATCTTGTCTACATACCTGCCCAAATTCCAGGGCTAAAAAGGATTTTCCGAGTATATGGGAGACTGTGGTTGTGTTTAAAGGAGGAAAAGGCAGTGGTTACCTCTGGATAATAGATTACAAGTCATTTTTTTCCACCAATACCTTTGCATCTTGTAAATTTTCCTTGACATTTAAATTCATTAAACACATGTGCACTTTCCCCCCAGTGGTCTCACACTGGGCTTCATCTTAATCAGAGATGTGGTAGGATTGGAAGAAAGGGCTGGTTAGCAAGTCAGCCTCAAGGCCAGCTTTCCCCTGCGAAAGCGGGCTGGGCTCTACCACCTCGTGCGCCAAGGTTGGTCAGGTGTCCTCGCCCCGCATGCCTCCTGGACTGACAGGAGGAAGAGATCAGCCCATGCACACCACCCAAGCAGATAAAACGAAAAGGAAGAAAACTGCTCCTCCTGAGACTGAGGCTAGTTATCCTTTTTCCCCTCATAGGGTGCAACTATCTGGTCCAGCCTGGAAAGGGTTGCCAAATCTCATGTTTAAAAGAACTCTGCCTTAGGGACTTCCCTGGTGGTCCAATGGGTAAGACTCCACGCTCCCAACGCAGGGGGCCCGAGTTCGATCCCGGGTCAGGGAACTGGTTCCCGCATGCCGCAACTAAGACCCGGCACAGCCAAAATAGATAAATAAAATATTTTTTAAAAAATAGCTTTAGGGGGCTTCCCTGGTGGCACAGTGGTTGAGGGTCCGCCTGCCGATGCAGGGGACGCGGGTTCATGCCCCGATCCGGGAAGATCCCACATGCCGCGGAGCGGCTGGGCCCGTGAGCCATGGCCGCTGAGCCTGCGCGTCTGGAGCCTGTGCTCCGTAACGGGAGAGGCCACAACAGTGAGAGGTCCGCGTACCGCAAAAAAAAAAAAAAAAAAAATAGCTTTAGGACTTCCCTGGTGGCACAGTGGTTAAGAATCTGCCTGCCGATGCAGGGGACACGGGTTTGATCCCTGGTCTGGGAAGATCCCACATGCCGTGGAGCCACTAAGCCCACAAGCCACAACTACTAAAGCCTGCGTGCCTAGAGCCCGTGCTCCGCAACAAGAGAAGCCATCACAATGAGAAGCCTGTGCACCGCAACGAAGAGTAGCCCCCGCTTGCTGCAACTAGAGAAAGCCCGCGCACAGCAACGAAGACCCAACACAGCCACAAATAGATAAATATTTTTAAAAAAGAAACAAAACACTTAAGATAAATCTTTAAAAAATAGCTTAAAAAAAAAAAGCATTCTGCAGAGAATAAGTGAAAGCTGTGCTATCAGTTACAGGTGGAGTCAGAAAGAGTTGTCTCATCTACAAAGCCTTAGTGTTAGTGACGGGATCATGGTAACTCTGCATAAGGCACTTCCATTCCAAAAGTGAACATAAGTAAAAGTGGGAGCAATGAAACAGCAGCCTACTGAAAAGACCAGAGCTGCTGACATCAGAACAAGATGTGCTGCTCTAAAGGATTCTAGCAGATAAGCCACAGAACCTGTTTTACAGACAAAGATTCTCCGCTGTCACTGGTACCGACCAGGCTACACAGGGGAGGCGGCCGAGCAGCGACTGAGGGCCTGTGCCGCAGACGAAGCCGGGCACGGATTCAAGCTCTGCCACGACCGGCACGAGCCCCAGACCGGTACCCACGGATCTCCGCTTGCCCCTCCTCTGTGAAAGGCCCTTGCTCCCGCCTTGGTGGCAGGCACACCAGAGAGCCAGCAAAGGCGGACGTGTTGCTCCATTTGCTCAGCCTCCCCCCACTTGCTGGTCACCTTAGGACAAGCTTCAGCCTACTAGCCACCCCCCTGGGATGACCCTCTCCACTTGAGAGGTTCAGGAATGAGAGAATGTTCCTCACACAACCCTCAGAGTCTGAACTAGACCTAGAATGGGTTCAAGAATGGGTTCTCCTCCACGCCTCTTGTCTTCAAGAACTGCAGGCAATGAAAGGACGTGCCGCGGTCACACCTGTGTACTCTTTGGGGGACGCCGTGTCTCCGTTCTTGAAGAACTTGATGGTAGGGTAGCCACGGACGCCATACTGCTGGGCCAAGTCAGACTCTTCAGTAGCATCCACCTTGGCCAGTCTGATCTCAGAACCTTCTGCCTTCAGCTTCCCAGCTGCTTTGGCATACTCCGGGGCCAGAGCCTTGCAGTGGCCACACCATGGGGCATCTGGGAGAGAAAGCAAGACCTAGAAGGCAGCACCAACCCACTCCACTGCCTCCCCTCCCTTCTCCTTTGCTACTTCCCTCCATAAAATCCTTATCTTTGAACCAAGATAACCCCTCTGAACCCACAGGTTGAGCTGATAGCTTGGTTCTCTTGGGCAATATCCGATAGAGGCCGTGAATGACAAACCACCAGCCCCACTCTGCTTTGTCTTCAATGATTAGCAACTTCCTACTACCTGCAGGCGATCAGGGCAGTTGAGTCCCCGGAATTTCCCTTTAGGAACCAAAGAAGTTAGGCAGCTAAAGCCACGGCAGCCGTGTACTCGGTGAGACTAATCATGAGTACAAGACTCACATCTAACACGAGCTCTTTAGACTCTCTCTGAACTCAGGTTAGCAGCTGTCTTAGGCCTAAGATTTCCCCCTGAAATAGTCAGGGCTCAAACACTTATGGACACAAAGGTTTTGGATTCTGGTTGGCAACACTGTTAATCAGAAGACAGCTGTTCCCGGTGGAAGGTGGTGTGGGCAGGGGCAGTGTTTTCTGGGAACTGGTCCAGGCAAGCAATTAGGGGACTGGACCCTGCGTGGTCCTTCGTAGTTGTAGCAGCTTACACAGTCGACCCTGTTTTACTTAGGCTATTCAAGACATCCTGCCATGTGGACCTCAGGCATAAAAGCACATTCAAGCTGTCTGCCCTTGGTCACCCTCAGGGTCCAGCTGGGCTGGAGGGATGCCCCCAAGACACGGGCAGCGCACGGACGCTGACAGGTCTGTGGACTGTTTCCGCTTAAGGATGTGCCTCTCCAGGGGCTAGGAGTCAGCGCATCCATGGGGTGGCCGGAAAGCTGACAGCCCTTTAGACCCCCAACCCACCTCTGGCGGGGCCGGGGGAGGGAGGGTGGGGAGGGGCGCCCAGGACCCCTGCGCCCCCCCACCCTCCAGCCCCCCTCCGTCCCTCTGTCCCCCCGGTGCTCCTGCACCCCTGGCCCCTCCTCTGTCCCCACTCCGTCCCCACGCCGCGGTGACGGCGAGGCCCGGTCCGGACGGACGGACAAGCGGGCGGCACTCACAGAACTCCACCAGCAGGTACTTGTGGGCCGCCAGCGCCTCGTCGAAGTTGCCCTTATGGAGCACCAGGACGTGGTCCTCCTCGTCGGGGGCGCCGGCGCCCGCGCGGACTAGCGCGGCCAGGGCCAAGCAGAACAGAGCACGGCGTAGCATGTCGAAACGATCTCCGCGCTCCTGTTGGCGCCGCCAGGACAGCAGGCCACAAGAGCGCGCACTGCCCGCCCCGCCCTTATAACTCAGGCCGCAGAGCGCGCGCCCGCCCGCGCCCACCTCCGATTGGCCGGTGGGCTGCGGGGCCCGCCTCCGCCGCTCTCGCATTGGGCGTCCACACTGGCCACGGCCCCGGATTCGGAATCGCTACGGGCACCTCCCTCGCCCTCGCCCAGGATTGGCCAAGGAGCTCGCGCTCCCACTCTTTCCCGGCCTCTCATTGGCTCCTGACGGAGAACTTTCTCTCCCTGGCCTTGTGACTGGTGGCTTTCTCCTACACCTTCAGCGGGTCTGGAATGGCTGCTACCTTCGGGGGCCTGGGCTCTGCGACTCCTGATTGGCCGAGACATGCGCGAACCCCGCGCGATCCTTCGTCGAACGTGGCAATGGGGCGGAGTCCCCGGCTGAGGGGCGGAGCCGCGCTTGCGCCTCCGAAACCCCTCGTGTTGCTTTCTGACTGGACCGCGTATCCCCAATTGACACCGCCCCCCAGCTCTGCAGACTGGAAACTGAGCTGACGCGCTTCCGGCGCGCGTGAGGCCCGTGCGGCCCCTGCAGTGGCGGGGCTCTGGTTCGGGCGTCGCCCCGGGGGCCTCAGCGGGCGGCTCGGGCGCTCCAGGTGGCGGCGTAGCGAGGCGCAGGGGCAGCGCGCGGGGGGCGCGGGGAGGACCGAGGCAGGACGCAATGGGGCCGGCAAGACTCGGCTCGGCCCGGAATGGGGCCGCCTGCCTTGGTGAGAGGGTCAGGGCCGGCACCGTCTCCTGCGGCACCTTCCCTCCCTCCCACCGGCTGCCAGTCCCACGAAGCAGCCCCTGGGTCGCTTTCAGGCGCCCGGGTAGACCCGCGCCGTCCACTAGGGGGGTCGCTAGCGGCCACTGAGCTCTAAAATGCGGCCGAGCAGCGTGACTGGGAGTGAGCGTAACACGCACCGGACGTCAAGACTGAGGACGGGAGGGGAGTGTACGATATTCCCTTGATGTCTTTTTATATTGACATGTTGAGATATTTTGTATACGATGACTTAAGTAAAAGTATTAAAGCTTTTTTTTTCCTCCAGTTTTTTTCTTTAACGTGGCTTTAGAACATTTAAAATAACATACGTCGCCCAAATGTTGCTTCTGTCGGGCGGCGCGGCTCTGGACGGAGCAGCTCCTTTTCCTTCACAGCTCAAAGCCTAACTCTAACCCCACCCCACCCCCGTCTACACTCTCTTCTTCATTTGTGTTCACTTCCTCGGTTGTGAAATGCCAACCCCACTGATTTTCATTCATCATCGATTTAATAACTTGACAGGAAAAAGGAGGACACTCCCACATTAAATGTACACGTTGGCAATATAATAACATCCTGATTTCAGAAATGGTAAAACATAGAAAAAAAGATGTTTTTGTACTTCTGAGAGTTTGCATTTATTGACACGTAGCTCCTGAGGGCCTGTCTTCTCATCTCTTGTGGTACCTCCTCACCTAGAATATGAATTCCTGAAGGTCAAGACCAGGTTCTCTGTGCCCCTCCCCCAGGGCCAGTAGAACAAGAGTCAGTCAGAGGTGGTTGTAGCTCCTGGGATGCCTGTCTACCTCACAGAAGGCACTGTACAGGAGCTGGGCCTCAGGCAACGAAAGGCTATGAACATGTGTCTCTGCAGCTGCAGCCTCCACCCCAGTTCAGTGGGGTCCTGGCCCGCTGAGTGGCAGTGATTCAAAATAAGCCATCACAGGCACCCTCTGCTCTCTGGGAAAGGGTGGGAATTGCCTCATATCTCCTGCCCTATCTCCCAACATTTTTGTGATTGCCATGACCCCGATTTACAGACCACAATTTGGGTCTGAGACAAGGGACATTTGTACCACGTCTAGATTTCAGAGGCACTCATGAAATCAGAGTTTAGATGCCTAAATTTTTGGACTTTAGTTTTTTCATCTGATAGGGACAGAGTGAAGAGATACCAAGATGTTGATTAGTTTGTGATGGTTTGGAGGCAGCTTAGCCTCACAGCATACGGTAAAGTAGTTACAAAAGATGAGAATACTGGGACCAAGGGGAGAACAGACCAGACGCAGGACAGCAAGGATCTGAGTTGCTGGCTGTGGTTGACTCTCACTCTGGTTCAGTCTGGGCCTCCATGGCCAAAGCCAAGGGTAATTGGGACACACCTTGATGCAGGTGATGACAGGCCACTGTTCTGCAGCCCAGGTGAACCCAGCCAAGTCATCGTTCTGTGAAAACCAGGGCTCTGGCCTGGGCAGGGCACGGTATTTTCATGCCTTGCCTGCATTGGTGCACCTTCTCAAAGCACGTCCGCAGGGAAGTGGGGTTCCCAGAAAGCTGGAGGGAGGCCATGTTTGGGGATGCCCCAGGTCTCCAGTCTCTGGGGTTGGTCAGTAGTTGGGTGAGGTGCAGGGGTGCATCCTTCCCCCCAGGACACAGGCCAGGTTCACTGTACACCTCTGCAAGCCTTGGCCCTGAGGGGAGGGCCAGCGTCTGTCTTTTTCCTAAGGCCACTCACATGCCTTTCATGGGCAACTCTAGGAAGAGGCGACGGAGCCGTGTTCACTCTCATACCAGTGCCCTGAGCTGGAGTGCACCTTTGGAGAGCAGAGCCAGTGGCTGTGGCTCTGGCATCTCTCTGAACCCAGTACAGCTGCTTCAGGATGTCCTCCAGGGGTCTCTCACACCCAGAGGAAGTGCTCATTAAACACTGGTTGAACAACTGAGTGATAAAACATATTGATAAAGACTACTCTCAAAAATAGAGTTCTTGGGGACTTCCCTGGTGGCGCAGTGGTTAAGAATCCACCTGCCAATGCAGGGGACATGGGTTCGAGCCCTGGTCTGGGAAGATTCGACATGCCGCGGAGCAACTAAGCCCGTGCGCCACAGCTACTGAGCCTGCACTCTACAGCCCGTGTGCCAGAACTACTGAAGCCGGTGCGCCTAGAGCCCGTGCTCTGCAACAAGAGGAGCCACCCAATGAGATGCCTGCACACTGCAACGAAGAGTAGCTGCCGCTCGCCACAACTCAAGAAAGCCTGCGTCGCAGCAACGAAGACCCAATACAGCCAGAAAAATAAATAAATTAAAAAAAAAAAAAAAGATTCCACGCTTCCACAGCAGGGGGCACGGGTTTGATCCCCCGTCAGGGATCTAAGATCCTGCGTCCCGGCTGGTGTGGCCAAATATTAAAAAAACAAAAAAAGTTCTCAGAATAAAACAACTCCCTTTCAACCCAACTGGAGGCATTGAGGGAGTTAACAGCTGGCTCCTGGACACCCAGGAAGTCCTCCTGACTGCAGGTTTCCACTGTGGAGCAGGAGCAGGGGAGCGAGGGCTGTGCCATGGGCCACACAGCCCTGCACATGCGTGAGCTGGGACATAGGAAGAAGGTGCAGTGGTGAGCGTGGCCCTGGTGGACTGAAGTGGACCCTGATTGTAAAGTATGACAGTGCTGGGCATGGAGAAGATTCTAGCAAGCTACAATAACTGGTGAGTAGTCACAATAAAGGCGCTGACCTTGTGTCCACTGCCACTCTCCTCAGTGGAAGAAGGGTCCATCTAGGGGATGGCTGAGGAGGCAGAAGCTTGGGGATGACTAGGGCTATGGACAGAGGGAGGGAGTGGAGAGGAAGGGTCACAGGCACTGGCTCACTAGGGCAGGGAGCCCCGGCCCAGCGGCACTGAGCTGTACAGACAGGTTTGGGTTTGGGGTGGAACCAGAAGGATCAGGTTAGACTTGGGACCTGAGAGACACGTCATGCAGGTCCTGCAGGTGCCACCTCATGTAATCCTTCACCAGAGGAGGAACGAGAACAAAGTCCTGGCTGTTGGCAGCGTGTCTGTACTACTTGGCACTTGGGGTCTGAGTTCACATATCAAACCAAAGCTTGGAAAATCCAAGAGCTAGTAGGCCTCCTGGCTTGCCGGAGCCTCGGAAGGCCCTCGCCCAATAAACCAAACGGCTGCCAGCACAGGCTGACCCTAGGTTTGAAGATTTTCACTGGACCTCTTAGGAGGTGGACAGGGAGAGATAGAGCGGCTGTGGCTGGCCCCGGGGCTCCTGCAGACTGAAACTTGTAGCCACCGCCTGGGAGCCTTTCCCCTCCAAGGGTAGAGCTGTTTCAGAGGTAGCTGTGTCTGAGTTTAGTGGGAAAGGCCTTGGGCCTCGGAACCCAGAGCTGTGCAGTCTCACTACCTCCCCCTGCCTCCAGCAGACAGTCCTGGGAGAGGCTGGTTAGGGTCCTTGACCCCTGTGGATTCCAGAGCTGGGGGGTACGGCTCTTGGATTTACGTCTGGGCCAGCTGCTGCACCAAGTGGCATTTTATCCCATTACCCAGCCCAGCGCCCAGACTCCAAAATCCCACCAGGGCCCTGGTAAGGAAGGCCAGGAGATAGCCAGCCCTGTGGGTGCCATCCTGGCATGACATGTGGTCACTGAACTGCGGGTGGAGGTGAAAGGGTACCTCCGAGTCCATCCCAGCTGGTGATAAGGTCCTGGGAGGGCTCACCCTACTGATAAGCACTGGGAAGAGTGCAGCCAAGGCGGGATCAGGGAAGCGGCTGCCTAGGTGTGACACATACCACTCTCCTCACCGGCTCAGCACAAAGGGAGATTCTGCAACCAACACTGAGCCATAAAAGGGAGTTTCTGGAACCGACACTCCGGAGCTGGGGATTCCTAACTGCCCTTTCCTGCCTCAGGGCTGGGAAAGGGTGTGTTAGGTACTGGGTGCCCTTGGAGGTGATGCTCTGAGGCAGCACAGTCCCTGCTACCCCAAGGTCCTGAAGAGACCCTGATGGTCAGCGGGACTGGCTGTGGAGCATGCATGGCCCTTGGCAGTCCTTCAGGGCTCGCTAGGTGCTCTCTTGTACCTCCATGCAGCGAGGGTCCCCATCTCCTCCCGTTCATCTCACCTTACCAATCCCACCTTTGGACCTCTGGCCCTGCCTGGCCCTACAGGGCACAGGGGCTTGGCCGGCCTTCCATGTCACCCTCCATTGGCCCTGCTGCCCATGGTGCCAACTTCTCCACCTTCCTACCTAGCTTGGAGTCCTTATCCCAGGTCCCTTGCGACCCAGTCATCCCATTTGTTCCCAAGTCTTCAGCACGATTCCTCTTCTCTGAGGCTGAAAGTGTTCCCTCCCAGAGGCTCAGACAGGGCCCATGAGTCGGGTGCCGGAGCCACTCTGGACACCCCACCAGGTCCAGGGCCTGACTGTGCCCCGCCCTTTCCCCACAAGAGCTGAAAGGGTAGCACTGGCCTCGCGGGCTGACATGACTAAGAAAGGGCTTAAAACCCATTATCCTTCAACAGCCACAGGAGCAGTGGCGACTGCACCTGGCCCCTGGCCGGCCTCTGGGTGCCCTGGGGTAGCAGAGGAATGGGGCCCCACTTCCCCTTTCCCACCAGGAGACGACCAGCAGACACCCTGGCTCCTTAGGGGGAGTTTATTTCCCGGTCAGAAAAGGAGAAGCAGGACAGGCTCTTGTGCGTTCTAGGCCCGGGCCTGACCGGGGAGGGGCAGGGTTGGGTGGGGGGCACAGGGGACGGCTCCAGCTGTGCAAGCTTGGTCCCACAGTTGTCCTGGCTGGGTCCTGGTTGGCCTGCTGGGGATGGTGGCACCGAGCCTGGGGGCAGAGGCAGCAGGCCAGTGGGCCCAGAGGACGGCACATATGGAGGCAATAAATACCGACAGGCCAGGCACATGACTCCAGGCCGGCAGGCCCAGGCGGGACAGGTAAGGCTTGGCCACTGGTTTTGTCTGCTGAGGGCTCTCTCGTGGGGCCGTGGGCTCTAGGCACTGCCCACCGGGACAGAGAAGGCAGAGGTGTGAGGACACCCAGCCTCCCAGATGGGACTGGAGGCCGCTCAAGGTTTGGCATTTGGCTTTCCCAAGCCCCTGGAGCCGTCCCCGCAGCCCTGGCCAGGGGGAGGGGGACTGGCCAGGCCCAGGCAGACCGGGGAGCAGCAGCAGCACATCCCACACACCTTCTCGGGCCACGGGGATCACAGACGGGGCAGGGACTGGGGGAGACCACATGCTCATGCAGACACGGGGTTAGGAGATTAGTGACGCCCCCTCAGCACACGTTCCACATGTTAAGGCATCATGGTTAGACGGTTACTGACAGCGATGGATGGACTGACCGGGGAGAAGTGAAAGCTGGAGGACGACCGGCCCAACGAGGCCCCACGTGGTACACCCCACCCCCACCAGGAGGGCGTGCCAGAACACGAGGTGGGGCAACAGAGAAGGCCCAGGGGACCTAAGCCCCTCTGCAATGCCTGGCTCCCTTGCCAGGACCTCAGGTCGGGTTAGGACAGTGGGGAAACCTCAAGGGATACAGAAGGGGAGGTGTAGACCTCCCTCCCCACAGCACAGGCGGAAGCAGCGACAACACTAGACCACCGAGGAGGCTGGGGCCAGCAGGCTGGAAGGGTGGAGGAGGGACAGACAGGCCGGCCAGGAGGCAGACCAGGGGGAGTGGCGGCAGCGTGGGCGGGCCCTGTCAGCACTTTGGTCTGGGGTCGGGAGGGGTGGGGAGGGGCATGTCCGTCCTTCCGTCCGCCCGCCCTGCCCACCTCCCAGCCACGGCTCAGTCCTTCCACTCCTTCTTGATGGTGAGGTTCCACTCCCAGGACAGGTGGTCAGTCCTGTCGTCGTCTGTGAAGCGGGACTTGATGTTGTAGCTGCCTCGAGCCAGCATGCCCTTGGGGGCCTCCTCCATGGGGGTCAGGAACTCGTATTCCTCCGCCCGAGGCCCATAGCTCCCCACCATGTAGTCGGTCTTGTCAACTGCGATGCAGAAAAGGCGTCAGTCAGGGAGCAGAGCTGGGTGTTTCCTCTCTCCCTCCCGATCCCTGAGCCCCTGGGTGGCCACCTCCCTCCTGGGGGCTCGGGCCTGGCGCCCACCCTCACTCACTCTTAACGCCTTTCCTGTACGTGTGCTGGATGTACTTCATGCCGGACACGATCTCTCGGTTCACCTGCAAGGAGGCACCCCAAGCAGGGCTCAGCCAGGATCCCCAGCCCCAGACCCTGGCACCTCCCTGAGCCTCCTCCTTACCCGGAAGGAGATTTTTATCCTGTATTCCACACCTTCCTTCAGCACAAAGGACTGCTTCTTAAAGCTCTCCAGATCACCTGCATTTGACAGGAACGCCACACTAGGAGGTTCAGCCAGGGGAAGCCTCTGGCCCTGGTGGGGTGCCCCTTCCACCCGGCGCCCCCACATAAGCCTTGGCAACCCAGACCTAGACCACACCAAAGCCAGAACCTTTTAAGACCACTTGGCTACACTTCTTGTGCTCCCCACAAGAGGGCACCAGCACCCCAACAAACTATTTTTAGGGGAAGCAGCAGGGTGCCAGGCAGCCCCAGCCAGGAACCTCAGAGATGCCACTCACCTGTCAGGTCCAGCTCCAAGGGGCCCGGGGCGGTGCTACAAACCAGAATCAGTCGGGTCACCACAACATTGGGGACATTGGGGTCTGCAAAGTGACAGCAAGTTAGAGTTTCACCAGTGGGGAAAATAGTAGCAAACATCCAGAAAAGCGACAGGTGTCCACACACACCCACCAGGGCCCACTCACCAGCGGACACAGCCACACGGCCCAGCAGGGCCTCCTTGTACTTGCGCAGACTCTCGTCGTCCTTGTCCAGCTCCTGGATCTCCTGGATGCTCTTCTGGGCCGGGGGCTTGTAGTTGACCGAGTGCTCATCCTCCTCGTTCTCAGCCGCAATCTGCGCCAGCTGCTCGGCTGTGGGCTCCTGCTCAGCCATACTCACCTCTAGCTAGGTCTGGGACACCTGTGGGCAGGGTAGCATGGGCTGTGGCATCTCGGAGGGACCCAGTGTTCCCCCTCCTGCCCCTCTGCAAGTCCCCCAGGTGATCTGCGTCAGATCTCTGCAGGTGGCCAAGCCCCACCTGGGCCCAAGGAGAGGTGCACCTTCTGTAACAGGAAAGCAACGACAGCCAGAACTTTGAAAAGGCCCCAGACACTGGCTCCTGAGGCCCAGAGGGGCCACACTTACCTCCTTGCCCTGCCTACCTCAGGGGACCCCACCCCAGGTCCAGCACCCAGAGCTAAATGGAACCTGCAGCCTGCTCCTAGGGGAGACCAAGCACAGCTCCCCTGCTGCCCAGGAAACAGCAGCACCCTGGTCCCTCCAGGCAACATCAGGACCAAGTCCTGCTGCTTATTCTGAACTGCCCAGGCCCTTGCCTCAAGGGACCCCTCCTGCTGGGTCCTCTCTAACCAGAGGGTTCCTTCGGACACGTCCTAGCTGCAAACCAAAGCCTTTGTTCAAGACACAGGTCAGTTCTGTCTCACTCTTCAAACACAGGACTCTCCTAAGGCTCAGATGACAAGGCCAACCTCAGTCTCACAGGTAAGTCCTAAAATGGCATGAGAGATCCTAAGTGTCTGCCAACCATATCTCCAATTGTAAGGGTCTGCGACCTAGAATTTGCGAACCGCTGCAAACATGTGGTAGTCTCAGGACCCTCCTTCCGGACCCTGCCCCAGAAGAGCCCGCAGCAGTGCTGACAAAGAGAGGAGCAGCGATGGGGCAGCCACTGGGCTTCCTTCGGTAAGGATGACCGTCGCACCCCCTAGAATCCCTGAGGAGTATCTGAAACCCGCTCAGATCTAACCTGGAAGTGCAGGAGGTGGGTCAGGGCCACCAGTTGCCAGTAAAGATAGCCAAGGCTGGGACCCGTGCGAGGATCAGATCTTACAAAGGGCCGCTAGGGACCCGGAACCGCCCGGCCGCCGCAGGCGGGGTGGGGCCGGCCCGCTTTTCCAGACCTCCCTGCTGCTTCCTTTGGAATTCCTCTAGAAGACTCACGCCCTAACGCCACTCAATCGCGGCCGCAGGCGACAGGATCCTTTAAGTGCGATGGCGCGGCCCGCACTTCCGCAGGGCCTGCAATCTGGGCCGGGCGCGGCCCGGCGCGTGGGGTGGGGCGCGGGGACCTCACCGCCCAAGGGAAGGGGCGTCCGGCCTGGCCCGGGCCCGCGCGCACCAGCGGGGAGGGGGTCCTGGGCACGAGCGGCGACCACAAAAGAGGCCTGCACAACCCCCGGATCCCGCCCCCAGCACCCAAGCCCCCGCCTCCGGATCCCAGCGCCCCCGACCCGCACGTGGGCCCGCCCTACGCCCAGGCCACCGCCCGCTGTCAATGCCGCCCCCGCCCGGCGCAGACCCCTCGGCTGGGCTGGCGGGCGGGGCGGGCGGCGAGAACAAAGGCGCGGCCCCGGCCTCCTCCCCCGCGGCCGCCCCGCCTGCCGCGCCCACCGCGCTCGCCAGCCCCGCCGCCCGCGCTCACCGGAGGATCGTCCTCGCCGCTCTAGCGCTCCCTCCCGCACAGAATGACGAACCTTGCCGCCCCGCCCGCGCGCGCCCGGCCGGCCACTTCCGGGGTCACGCGACTTCCGCTCGCGACGGGCGGGCTGCGGAGAGCGCATGCGCGCGGGCCCTGGCGTCTGCGCGCCGCCGCCATCTTGTGGGCACGGCCTCGTGGGCGCGTCCTGCGTGGGCGGTGCGACGGTGGGGACGTTTACGGAGGCCTATCCCGTTGGGGCTTCTACGCCCTTTGCCCCAGGCATTTTTTGGACCCGGGCATCCCCAGGGGTCAGCCCGCAAGCTGAAGGGGCGGGGCAGTGTCACAGTCTCGCTGAGCCCCACGCGGAACGTGGGCGCGGCGTGGCATTTCCGTGAGGTGCTGGAACGCGCGTCTGTCAACGGGCGCGTCTCCCACGGCCACGCCTCCTTCTGTGGGTATGCAGCCGTCATTCTGCGAGGACAAACGGGCCCGGCCTGTCCCCTCTAGGAGCCGGGGTCAGCGGATGGCCGCCGTCCAGCCTGAGGCGGCCTTCGCGCCCAGTCGCTGCTGTCCGGCCTCCTGGAAGTTACCGCCGGACGTTCATCCGCGGGTGTCGGCCTGGCGCGCCCTTCCAGGAGAGGGATCGGTGCGCCTGCCGAGCTTTTCGCTCCTTCCAGACCAAGTCAGCATGTGGTCGCCCTGCCAGGAGCTCCTGCCCCAGACGCCACGGCCGACCCGGGTTCTCCAGCCGCATGGCGAGTATTGGACATTTGCCCATGCGCTCAACCCAGGAGCATTTTGCAGCTCCAGGTGGGGCCCATGATTTGTGACCAATGTGGTGGGCCTGGCGGAGCCCGCGCCGCCAATGCCCGCCAAGCACCCCACTTCCTCCTCCTCCTCGCGGGGTCTGAGCCCCCAAATGTTCAACACCAGAATCATCACAAACACACACCCCTAGATTGCGCGTAGGAGGGCCTTTTAGGCCATAGAACTTAATGCGAAATACTGACCTTGGTATCTTTTCGAAATGTCTTAACTTTTGATGAGTATTTGCGAGTTTTCTCTATCTAAGAGTCTCACTGGTCCCTTTACGTGTAGGAAGTTGAGTTGGCCAAAGACAGAGCATTCCAGTATGGTATTTATTCGGTGTGTGCTTCTGAGGCTTCCTGCCACTGAAAACCGCGATGCTAGAGCCAGCTGTCCTGCTGCACTGCTGAATCGCTGGTTGAGCAAAAGTTTGCTTTCCCATAACCCAAGTGCTTTTTGAAAAATACCACACTTGTTATGTTAGTCACCTATTGCTGGGTAAAAACCTACCCTGGAATTTAGCAGCTTAAAACGACCAACATTTACTGTCTTGAACGAGGATTAGGGAGCTGCTCTGCGGGGTGATTCCGGCTCCAGTGTTGTGAAGTTGTGGTCAGCTGTGAGCCTGGGACCTGGTCTCAAGGATATGCAGTGGGCTGTTGGCTGGAGGGTTTAGTTCCCTGCTGCCCACAGCTTCTGGCGTCTCTATAAGGCAGTTGGCGTCCCCCAAGTGAGGCCTCAGAAACAGAAACAGAGGGACTTTCCTGGTGGTCCAGTGGGCAAGACTGCACTCCCAATGCAGGGGGCCAGGGTTCAATCCCTGGTGGGGGGACTAGATCCTGCATGCCACAACTAAGAGTCCACATGCAGCAACGAAGATCCTGCGTGCAGCAAGAGAACGCAAGCCAGGGAAACAGAAAGCGCCAAAAACAAACCTGCAGTGTCCCTTACAACCTAGTGTCAGAAGTGCCATCGCTTCTGCTGTTTTCTGCTGGTCACACGGACCTTCCCCAGTACAGCGCCGGAGGAGAGCACAGGAGCATGAGGACAAGGAGGCGGCCCACCACATGGACCAAGCTAGAAAGAATGGGATTATGAAGCCCAGGGGACCTATCCCCAGCTTCAACAGGTAACCACCAGCTCGTGTCCAATCCTGTGTCATGTGTGCCCTCATTTCCTTAACACATGCAGCAAGTTTGAAGCAAACGTCAAATGTCATAAATATTTCAGCATGTATCTATTTCTAAAGAAAAGGATCCCGACTTCCCTGGTGGTGCAATGGTTAAGAATCTGCCTGCCAATGCAGGGGACACGGGTTTGATCCCTGATCTGGGAAGATCCCACATGCTGCGGATCAACTAAGCCCCTGCGCCACAACTACTGAGCCTCCGCTCTTAGAGCCCATGCTCTGCAACAAGAGAAGCCTACGACGCGGTGAGAAGCCCGCACGCTGTGATGAAGAGTAACCCCTGCTCGTGGCAGCTAGAGAAAGCTCACGCACAGCAACGAAGACCCAACGCAGCCTAAATAAATAAATAAATAAATATTTTTAAAAAAATTAAAAAAAGAAAAGGATCCTTTGGGAGTAAATAATAGCAGTACAGTCATCCCACAAACCACTCCAGGACTTCCCTGGAGGTCCAGTAGTTAAGACTTTGCGCTTCCACTGCATGGGACATGGGTTCGATCCCTGGTCGGGGAACTAAGATCCAATATTCCCACATGCTGCGTGGCGCAGCCTAAAAACAAACAAACCAACCAAACGCAGTGGCCTGGAGCAGCGGTTTATGGTTCTCTCCTATTCTGTGGGCTGAGGGCTGGGCTTTCTTTCGTGCAGTTGTAATCAGCTTGGTCGTGCTGCAGCCATAAAGACTGGCCATGAAGACTGGCCGTCAAGATGGCCCCATTTCAACAGCCTGGGCTGTTGGCCCGAGGACCGCCCACACAACTCCCATGGGATTTTGGCCGCTGGACTCCAAGAGCAAATGTTCCAAGAGGCCTTTCTACTGTGAAGGAAGGGCACGGCCTAGCAGTAAGGGCAGGTGAGAATCAGGAGTGGAGATGTAGGGAACAGTAGCCAACATTCAATTCACGAATCACTCAGTTTATTACACACGGTTACAAAGTAGGGAAAAGGGGGTAATGAACCACTCCAAGAAGAAGTCTGAGAAGGAGGCGTCTCAGCACAAGCAGCATCTCTGGTCTGGCCACAGGTCTTGAGACAAGTGTGAATGGGAAGTTGCCTTCTGCTCTGACAGGGCCTCTGGCAACGTTCAAAAGGCTGGAACAGCTCTCAACAACATGGAGTCGGGTCCTTCAGGGAAGAGTCTTCAAGTCACTGGGCTTAGTGGTCTCTTAAGGAGCAACAGTTACCCCCCAGGGGAGGGGTCTTCACTCTATCAGTTGTTCCTTCTCTTCCAGTGACATATATCATCCATCAAACTTCTTATCTAAAGTAACACTCTTAGTTTATCACTTAAGATACTCGCAGTGCTACAACAGACATTTCAAAACAATTAACATGGACGTTCACGTTGGCCAGTGTGACTCCATTTTGAGCTACATAACATGTCTTAACAATAGCTTAAATCCTACAAGTTTCACACAAGATGAGTAGGAATCATAACAGCAAAGAAATCACATCATAACAGAGTTAGATTCCACCTCTCAACGGGAATAGAAACAAAGGATGTGTGACCCTCTTGTGTAAAACACACTCTCTGCCTCCCAGGACCCCCAGAAGTCTCATCCCATCATGGCTGCTGGTCAAGACTCTGGTGAGGGTGAGGCTGGGGGGTGTGGCTTCTCTTAATCTGAAAATTGGAGCTGAAGACCCAGAAGACCTGCTTTGTGGCACCAGACAAAACAATTGTCTCACTCCCTAACCTTCAGAATCTGTGACCATAGTAAAATACGTTTCACACCACGTTTTGGAGTAATTTAAAGAGTAGTAGGTACCTGGAACCAACCAAGAAAATATAACAAACTCTTAAATATCATTAAAGATCTAACCAATATTTTCCTTGATTGTACTGAGTTCTTTTACTTTTTCTTAGAGCTTCATACATTGCATTAGTTGTGTTAGGGTCTTCTTTTTTTTTTTTTTTTTTTTGCGTTACATGGGCCTCTCATTGTTGTGGCCTCTCCCATTGCGGAGCACAAGCTCCAGACGTGCAGGCCCAGCGGCCACGGCTCACGGGCCCAGCCGCTCCGCGGCATGTGGGATCCTCCCGGACCAGGGCACGAACCCATGTCCCCTGCATCAGCAGGTGGACTCTCAACCACTGCGCCACCAGGGAAGCCCTAGGGTCTTCTTTAATAGGATCATCCTCTCTGCTCTGTGCAGTGTCCTGTTGAAGGACCAGGATCACTGGTCCTTAGAGTCTCCCACAACTGGGACTGGCTGGCAACACCATACCCAGTGCTGACATTGTGTCCCTGCCCTTCATCCTTTCCGTAGGTGCAGGTTGGACCTGCAGGAGCTGGACC